TTTTTGAGTAATTCAAGTCATTAGAAGGGGAAGTAGGGGAGGGGGGACTCGAACCCTAGACGTTTTACTCTATTGGTAGGCCTAGGTACCAACTCTCCTAATGAGGGTTGGTACATGTAGTTAGTTATATATGCATATATTTGTGTATTTTGGATTTGTATTTTATTTTTTATGTGGTGGATTATAATAAAAATATTGAACTTATATCAAACGGAGTTAAGGTCAAAAGCCTGAAAACTAACGGTGGGGGCCATATTCTTACATTTTTTCAAGTAGGGGGATAAATCCATGCAATCGAGAGTAGAAGGGGGTAAAGTGATATCAAGCCAAAGTACAAGGGGAAAAGTGGAATTTACCCTTAATTATTTTTTAGGACACTAAAGAGTTTTTGTAAGGCTTAATCCTATTTTGCACCCTTGAAATATACTATTTTTGCACTTTGCACCCTCGAAACAAATTAATATCACTTTGCACCTCGGAAAACAATAAATCATGAATAATGCACCCCAAATGAATTTTTAAAGCTAAAAAGTGTAATTTAATATTTTTAGTGATATTTTTTTATGATGCCGAATGTCAAATATTTTTTTTGATTCATGAATCATTTTGAAACTATAAAGTGCAAAAATAAAAATACATTTCATCAACATATTTAAAAATTATATTTTTTTATCAAAAGAAAATATTTTACGAAAATAAAATCATTCTGCTATTCCGTTATCAAGTTATCTAAAAATCATATCCTCTTCCAAATATGTTAACCTAATACTTTCAACCAGTTACGATAAAGATCCATCAATCGAATAATTTAGTCATACATTTTTTCTTTTTTAAAGAAAATATAGTTTTTAAAATAATCGAGTGTAATTTTTATTTTTTCGCACTTTGTCCGCTCGAAAGTGGGTTGGGGGGTTCAAGAAAATAACAATTTATTTTTATTTTTCACCCGAAAAAAAAAAACACCACTGAAAAATGAAATTGCCTTTATTATTCAATTCATGATGCATTGTGAATATTGTGTTTTGAGGGTGCAAAGTGCTATTATTATGTTTCGAGAATACAAAGTGCCAAAATAGTATATTTCACAGGTACAAAGTGGGATTAAGTCGTTTTTGTAATGATAGATAATTGAATTACAATGCACTAAATTACCGATGTCTAATTAATTGTAGTGGGGCCGGAAAATATGTTTACCAAATATTAATATTTTATTAAAACTAAGTACTTCACCCGTACGATGCACGGTGTCAGTTTCAAAGCGAAAGTTAAAAAAAATAAAGAAAAAAAAACCTATGTAATCTACTATTTCATTGTAACATACTAAATTGAAGTAAATAGGAACGAAAAGGAATTAAAAAAAATATAAACTTTATCTTTACGGGTAAAATGCGTTATGAATCAACATGATATCGTTTGAAATAGATTATTCAATTGTTTCATGGAATACAAAATAATACCATATGAGTCTTATGTAAAGTAAATGACTTATAACAACGACGCAATAATAGAGAAGTCAAGCAATAGAAATTCAAACAATCTGGAAGATTATCATTTCCCTAATGGAATAAATATATTTATACACAACTGTTGTAATATTTGTAATGCAAGGGCATATTAATATAAAAAGAGAAAATTTGCACTCCCATTAAGGTGCATCGCTATATTTTCTTTTGCACGTATATAGAATAAGATTCAATACATAACCTATCGACAAATAAATAAATATCTTTAAACATCAAAAATATGTAAAATAATATTGAAATATACTTCCTTAACAGTAGAGAATGTGGTCGAGCTGCATGGTAGATATTAATATGTAAAGTCTGAATTTGAAACAACACTAATTAGACTGACCCATATATTGCACATGCAAGAAAAAAAATACACAATAATATAATTGCAAATTTGTTTTAGGAAAAAAATTAGTATTGACATAAATGAACCAAAAAGGATTTAACCTATGTATCCTTTCCATATTCTACTAATAATCATAGTCGTGAGAGATTGATGTGATGCATTCATCTCAATATTATATAATATAACTAATTAAGTCAAAAACCACCTAGTCGTCCAAAACCACCTAGTCCAAATTTAAAATATCTAGTGAACAATATAGAGTCATCACAGTTTTTACTATCAATTTAAATGTAGAATATCTAGTGAACAATATAGATTCATCACAGTTTTTGCTATCAAATTAAATGTAGCAATTAAGAACAAGGGGTAATATGCCTCACACCCCTCAAACCAAACCTAATTAGATATGAGTGACAATCTAAAATAAAACATTTTAACTACACCCTTATTTTAAAATAAAATTTGATACACATCCTTTGTTTTTTATTTAACCCCAAAATACCCTTACAATACCTAATTAAAATCACTTTTTCTCTCCCCTCTATCTCACGCCGCTCAACAACTCCCCCCACCTATTCTGACTTTCTCGTTTCTCCCCCACCCCTTCTCTCTCTCTCTCTCTCTCTCTCTCTCTCTCTCTCTCTCTCTCCATGAAGGCCGCCGATCTCTCTCTCTCCATGAAGGCTGCCGATCTCTCTCTCTCTCCCTCTCTCTCTCCAAGGCCGCCGGCGGCAGCCACAAAGGGAGCAGCAGCAGGAGCAGGTCCTGCTAGGCTGTGATGGAGAAGACGGTGGTTTCAAAGGGTTGTGCGGCGGGGTTGTTCGGCGGGGTTGTGCGGTGGGGATTGCGCGGTGAAGGGAGCAGGTCTTCTCTATTTTTTTTTTATAATGATTTGGTAATTAAAATAGATAAACAAGTCGATTTTCTTCATTTTTTTTATAAAGATCTGTAATTGCAAGCATATTTTGACTAATTGGATTTGGTTTTCTTGATTTTATAAAAGTTTTTTCTTCGTTTGGATATGATTTGTTATTGTTTTTGACTTGTTGTAGATCTAGATTTTGCAAAAGGGGATAGGAGACTACGGTTGCGTCGGCTGCGACTTTTGGCTTCTAGGGTTTGGGCGGAGATTGCTTTTGACTGCTAGGGTTGGCGGCTGGGGTTTGGAATAGACACCGTAGTAAACCATAGTATACCATATTACACCATAGTATACTATGGTCTACTACAGACTGTGAATATAAAGAGGATACCATAGTACACCACAGTCTACTACAGACATTGAACATATAGAGGATGTGCGATGAAGTGAAATTTAAGTTTTAGATGTCTACAAGCGAAGATAGCGGCGACTACGATGACTATAGATGACTATATTTATTGATAGAAGAAAAATAAAATTAAAATTAAAAATTAAAAAATATGTAAATTGAATTAAAAAAACATGTTTTTTTTGGAATTTTCAATATTATGTAAAAAAAG